TATTGTATTATGTGACAGTTGCCTGTTTCCATGTTTTTCCTTTCCACCAGAGCATGAGTTTCTTGAAGGAAGGCACTCTTATTCATCAACAGAGACCAATATGTAGTATTCAATATGTACATGAGGGGCTGAAGTTGTGGCTCAGTGGTAGAGTGCTTGCCTGGCATGTGTGAGGCACTGGGTTTGATTCTCAGCACCACATTAAAAAAATAAATAAATAAAATAAAGCTATTGTGTCCATCTACAGCTAAATTTTTTTTAAAAAAAATATGTACATGAAAAATTATAAGAGATCAATCCTGCTGTGTGTCCCCACCTAGTTTACCCTCACTTACCAATTCTGCCATGGAAATCAAAGTAAGATAATAACTCCTATCACGAAACCTTCCCAGGGTAGATATCTTCCAAGATCCTCTAAAAGGTTAGGGATTAGAATAATACTGAGATTACAGTCCTAATAATACTAGTATTATTACCATCCTGAGTGTGAGGAAACTGAAATTCAACAAGTCAAATGATTTTTTCCATGGTGGTGTGGTTAGGGATATCAGAATCCAGACCCTTGAATTCCTAAGCATGGACCTCCTTCAGCTATTCAACAGATGTTTTAGTTCTTAAATTAGTGTGTTGCATCCTTTGTGTAGCCTATTGACTGTTATCATCATTTTTCTGAATAAGAAATCCAAGTTATTAGTATTGAAACAACTTGCCCTAGTTCACACAGCCAGGAATGATAGAGCCAGGGTTTATGCTGAGGTCTGTGTGATTCCAAAGTTTATGTGTTTTCTGAACACTTCTGCCTTTCCTTTAGTACTAGAAGATTTGGACTGAGAGAAAATGTGGGGCCACGATGAATAACAGGGAAGGTGAGAACCAAAACTAACCTAGCTCTTTTGCCACCCACTCCATCCCACACCAGGTTGCGGGAATAGTGCTCTGAGCTACGAGCTGTTCCTTGGAGGCTTTCCCGATGTGACCAGTGTGGATTACTCATCAGTAGTGGTGGCTGCCATGCAGGCTCGCTATGCCCATATACCCAGGCTGCGTTGGGAGACCATGGATGTGCGGATGCTTGCCTTCCCTAGTGGCTCCTTTGATGTGGTGCTTGAGAAGGGCACACTGGATGCCCTGCTGGCTGGGGAACAGGATCCCTGGACTATATCATCTGAAGGTATCCACATTGTGGACCAGGTGCTCAGTGAGGTGAGGAATCAGCAAGAGAGGAGGGCAGATTAAGAGGTGGGGATGAGGGGATGGAAAGAACTCAAAAGCTAGAGGTCTGGTTTGGAGCAGGTGGTGGATCACCCTCAGAAGTATAGTTCTCTAAAGAATGGGAGTGTTAAGCTAGATCAAGATTAGAAGGGGCTGGAGTGATTAAGCTTACAAAGGCCAATATTTGGCTACTAGGTTGCATCAGGGGTAAGGTAACAGGCAAGTTCCAGACAGGTGATACAGACTGAGAAGGTGAACAGCTGATAGGAAAGCCATGCCTCCTGAACTCCCATGCTCCTATTTAGATTGCAGCCCTGCTTTCATGAAATGGCGAGGAGCAGAGAATGTGGCTTACTCTTTGCCATGGAAAGTTTGAGCTACTGGACGGAGGGTAATACCTGAGGTTTGACTGGGGCAGTACTGACCTTTGAGAACCTGGAGATGACTCATCACCGATGGCTTCTCTGTCTGCCTTGCAGGTGAGCCGGGTGCTGGTCCCTGGGGGCCGGTTCATCTCAATGACCTCTGCAGCCCCCCACTTTCGGACCAGACACTATGCCCAAGCCCGATATGGCTGGTCCTTGAGGCATGCAACCTACGGCAGCGGTTTCCACTACCACTTCTACCTCATGCACAAGGGTGGGGAGCTCAGTGTGGCCCAGCTGGCCCTAGGAGCCCAGATCCTGTCACCTCCCAGCCCTCCCACCTCACCCTGCTTCTTCCAAGACTCAGATCATGAAGACTTTCTCAATGCCATTCAGCTGTGAGGCCAGAGTCATTGTCCTCCAGCTCTCCCTGGGCTTCTCAGGAATTCCTCACTCAGGATTGGGGTTGTTTCAAAGGTGCTCACATTCCAGAGGTCTCATGTGCAAGAGAGAGGTTGTGAGAACAAGCCCATGTGAGCCAATTCAGCCCTGCTCCAGCTAGGTCCCCAGATCCTAGATTTCTGGCTTCCTTCTTATGTTCCTTTGAACTCTACTTCGTTCCCCATAAACTTCTCTACCATACCGGACCACCAGTAATTCATCCCCTGGGGTAAATTTTAACAGCCCTTCTGTACAACAGCTGGCCTAAGAGGCCCCCTTCCAACTTGCATTTGTGTACAAGAGATAGCAGACTTTGAAGATAGATTGCTTTATGCTTCCGACCCAGCTCCAGCCCCAACACTGCTTACCTGTCCTGCTTAGACTGTTCATGTACCTAAGGAGGCCACATGGTAACCATGTTCCCAGCTCAGGCTGGCCTGCCTGTATTCCCTTGGCAACCCTCCCCTACCAGCAACTTTGCACCTGAGATTACCAAGTATTTGCCTCCCTCCCATTTTGGCCCCGCTCCTGAGCAGACTGAAGCAGTGGCCACACACGCACACAGGGAGGTCTGTGTTTATTCACACACTCCTGATACAGTGAGGATGGAGGAACATTTTACAAAGGACACCCCTGGGTTGAGGACATCTCCAGGTCCACAGGTGTCATCCAGAGGTGCAGAGCAGTCCCATTTGGGTTCCCAGGGGTAGAACGAAAGGATCCAAGGTAAAATCAGATCTGGGCCCTTACAAGGTGATACCTTGGGGGAAAGGGGTCTGCCTGAGAACCTCCTGGAGTGAGGCTTTGGCAGACTGACCATATGATTGGTTACCATGTTGGGGGTTGTCCCAACCCAGCCTCAACACCCGTCCTATCTGCCAGGCGCAGAAGAGCATGGCGGAGGCTGTGGGGGGAGGGCACGAACCATGAGCGGAGCCAGTAAACAAAGAATCGGATATAAAAATACAAATGTGCTGAGGAAGTTCCTTAGAAAGAGGCTGGGGTCACGCCAGACTGGGGTGAGGATTAGGACTGCCCGGAGGGCTGGGCTCAGGTGGGTGGGAAGCTCATGCAAATACGCAGCCAAACATCCCTGGCCACTCGCGGTCCGACACCGGCAGCCACCCGGTCTGCAGACCAAACTGGCCGGAGGGGGGCGGGGCAG